GGAAAACCCCCCCGAGGGGCCAGAAGGACCCAGAGGTGTATTCACAACTACAAACACACACTAGACAGACAGATATACTAGAAAGATAGATAGACTAGATAGATGATCGATAGATGATATATTAGATTGCAAATAAAGAATCTGTGTAAAATAGATTCATACATTGAATGATTGGTATAAGATTCAACTAGGGTTTCTTTTATCATATAAAAGTCCTAACTTGATTTGAATATCATCACATCTATGGAGCAGTGCTGAAAAGAGATTTCTTTCAAAAGACTTGTACATGTTCATTCAGGTCTCTTCCAAAGTTGGGAAGTCTTGACAGTCAAAAGTGCAGGCTTCCTGTATGGTTCCGTAAATTGTTCTTTGGTTTTAAACCATCTCTGTAACTGAACACACTCTGGTTTGAGAACACTGCCCGGTTGAGGTAGTAGCGTAGTAATTATGTACCTGCCTTCAAAAATACTTACGTACCGACTAAGAAAAAGAGACCTTCATTATGAAATCCTTAGCAGGTGTTAGAATTTTTAATTAGCTTTACATTAAACAGGATTATAATCTGATTTTCCACAGTAGGTACAAAATGAATGGTTCTGTCTTCTGTTATAAAGAGTGTTGTGACTGGTCAACTGTGTTTTGCAGTGGAAGGACTCTGCGAAGGGATCGGAGCTGGGCTGGTGGATGTGGCCATCTGGGTTGGCACTTGCTCTGATTACCCTAAAGGAGACGCTTCTACAGGGTGGAACTCAGTATCTCGCATCATTATTGAAGAGCTACCAAAATAAATCCTCCGAGGCTTCTGTTCCCTACCTCTTGTATTTTTAAAACCAAACCTTTGAATGGGTTCATTTAAGTGACATTCAACCAATCATTTTATGTACCCAGCTGAATGAAAATGCAGTTAAATATGTTTACAGACCAAAGTGTGATCTCACACTTTAAAATCCCTCTTTACCCATTTTGCTTCTACCAAGGATCCCCCCCCCCTTTTGGTTTTTCGAGACAGGGTTCTCTGTGTAGCTTTGGAGCCTATCCTGGCACTCACTCTGGAGAACAGGCTGGCCTCGAACTCACAGAGATCTGCCTGCCTCTGCATCCCGAGTGCTAGGATTAAAGGCGTGCGCCACCAACGCCCGGCTCCAAGGATGTTTTTTTAGGACTTCCCCTGCCTCAGTTACCTTTTTCATGATTCTGTTCTTTAGTATTTCCTATTTCCTACTGTCAACATTTTTAAAAATATAAAAGTTATGTCATTGTGCGAACTGTAAATGTTTAGAACTATTTTGTATCTGTTAAATAAAATGTTTCAAAGAGCTTTAGTATTCTTTTTCTGTTTGCTTGTTTTGTGTAGCCCTGGCTGTTCTGAAAGTCACACTGCAGATCAGGCTGTCTTGGAACCCAGAAATCTGCCTGCCTCTACCTCCCAAGTGCTGACCATGCCTGGCAACTTTAGTATTTTAAAACTGAGGATTTTGACAGCGATGTTTAATTACTAGTACTTGATATATGAGAAGTTACATACAACTCTAAACTTTAAGTAGTCATTTAACAATTTATGAAATTTTAGTGCATGTTTTGTGCTAAACATGGTTCCGTATCTTGAGGGATATGAAGACATAAGGGTGTTTATATGTCAGGAATATAACAGTATTTTAGGAATTTTACCTTAATGTATCAAAAAGTAAAAACCCATGGCTCAATCTGCTTGCCATTCAGTAGGAAAGATAAGACACGTCCAAAAATGAGTGTTGCCGGGAGTTGGTGGTGCACGCCTTTAATTTCAGCACTTGGGAGGCAGAGGCAGGTGGATCTCTGTGAGTTCTAGGTCAGCCTGGTCTACAGAGCGAGTTCCAGGACAGGCTCCAAAGCCACAGAGAAACCCTGTCTCAAAACAAAACAAAACAGTGTTGAAGGAGGTGGTAGAGCTCAAAGTTGAAGTAATTGTTTTACATCAAGGTGCTCAGAAGTCATTCACCAAGCCAGGGGCCGTGAGGGAGATGAAGTTCTCGGCTTACATTGCAAGTGTCAGCGGGAACTCAGGTTTTATTTACTAAGAACGATGGTTGGTTCAGTGATGCTCGCACTGTGCTAGCTACAATAGGAAGATCTTGTAAGATATGAGTGACTTTCGATCTTGAGCAGGAAATGTACGATAGGATCCCAGAATGCCTTGCTTGGGACCCAAGGATTCAGCCTCAATTGTTTCCTACTGGCAAAGAAGACATGGGTCTCGATAAAGACAATAATTGCAATAGTTTGAAAAATATCAACCAACATGATAAAGTAAGATGATATTCTCGAATCCACGATATGCTAAAATGAAAATCCATTGGGGGAAATTGTGGGATGCCAACTTGTATTCAAAACTGGGATATAGAACCAATCATTTGTTCTGCTTTCTTTTTATGGATCGTGCCTCTGAGTTACCAAATTATTTATGAATGAAGGAGTCACTCTTTTTTTAAAGTATATATAGTCCAGTGAGGTGGCCCAGTGAGTAAGGTGTGTGTCACCAAGCCTAAAGCCTTGGTCAGTCCCCAAGATCTGTAGAGTGGAAGGCTGCTGTGTGATACAACCACTGAGAGTTGTCCTCTGATCACACTCACCATGGCACAGATACTCCTACACAAATACATACATACACACACTCAAAATAAGCAAATAAATACATGTAATAAAATATTCAAATTTGTATCTTTCAAAATTACATGTCATAGTATTGAACATTCACAGTTAACAAATGAAGAAAGAATGCTAACGTTAGGCCACCACCCTTTTCAGCCACTTATGAATTAAGGAATCTGTAAGTATGGATTTATGGCTCCTAACATCCCCCCAAAGAGAGACCAGACTAAGTACCTCCTAAGAAAGTCGTACGGCACCACCTAAGAGACAGTTTAATCAGCAGTCCAACAAGGATCCAATTTAGCATATAGATGTGACTATTTAATTGGTGGAAACAGGATAAAAGATAGATACAGATACAATGACAGAGATAAAGATATAAAAGGCAAAACACTGTAAGACAATTGATTTCTTCAACAAACTGCAAGAAAAAGATTTTACAAAGGCGTAAGATCATATCAATCTTTTGCAAAGTTTGTACTCAGACACTGATTCAAGAAAATTATAAGCACAAACGAAAGGTCAAATTTTTATTTAGGTAGTAAACATTGATGGTATAAATACTTTTTGGGTATGTTGTGTTATTGTAGTTGTTTTTAAGTAGTGCTCGGTCTTTAGAGCATTTAAGATAATGTGAATTCACCTGTTGTGGTTTGGATAAGGCTCTGTTAGTATTCCGGCATCTGTACCGGCCTGTCCTTGGGGTTCTGACAGGATACACCCTCAGCTGCAGCCACTAAGAGCACCACCTGTGCACATTCACTAAGTTCCCTTTTAAAAGGGCCCTGCCCACCTCCCATCCTTCTCTTTTTCTCCCTCCCTCTGTCTGTCTGTCCCCCTCTCCTTCTCTCTTTTCTTTTCTCTCTCCCCCCTTTTCTCTCTCCTGCTGCTCCTGTCTCCAGAAGGTCTCCCTCCTTCCCTTTCCCCTCTTGAATTAAAAAAACCCTCTGCTTGAACTCTGTCACATGGTGTCTTTCTCTTGAATGCCGCTTTTCTTAAACTACAACACTGAAGGCTCTCCTGGCATCTCCTCCTGCCCACAGGCAGTTCGAGGCACGCCAGGCCCCTGGAACCAGGTCCATGTAACAAGTCTTTACTCCAAAGCCACCTGTGCCCTGCTGCCACGTGGGCACTTTTCGACAGGACACCCAAGTTCTGCCCGCTGCCACGTTAAGGTCCCAAGTAACACACAGAGACTTATATTAGGTACAAATGCTGCTTGGCAAATGACTAGGATTTCTTATACGATAGCTCAGTCTTAATTATCATAAATCTATATATTATCTTATCGAGGATGCCTTCCACTGCTGCCTTCTCTTGCCGTCGGATCACATGGCGACTCCAGAGCAGAGAGCAGGAGGAAGAGCAAGAAAAAAGGGACGACTTCCTTCTTGTCCTTGTTTATATATGAGTCTCCCTGCTATGTCACTTCCTGCCTGAATCCAAAGACTTCTTTTTACTACATTTCCCAGAATCCTCCTCGACTCCTAGTCCCGCTTAACTTGCTGCCTCATTGGCCAAACAGTGCTTTATTCAACAATACGATAAACATACACAGAAGGACATTTCCCATCAGGTTCACATACGGCAGCCTTGGTTCTCCGGATCGATGGGTCCTTCCATCCAAAATCGCCAGGACTGGTGAGCCCTCCAGCTTCCCCACCTTAGGACTCCTCTTGTCTCTCTAGTGTGGCTTTTCACCTTTTGGCCTCGGGTTAAGTGCTGGTATCAGGCCTTGGCCCCCACCCTTTGCACGATGACCCACTGGGTGGCCTGTGCCAGTCTGGGACCCTCTGGTCCTTCGGCCCCTGCCCCTTAACGGATCACCGAGGCGGCTTGTGCCTTTCTGGCCCCTTCCTTGTTTGATAAAAGCCATTGGATCTTGTTCTGCCTCAGTCATGTGGAATAAACCTACCAAAAATCTGCTTCCCAGCCCTTGGTAATCACTTCATGCAGGGACCCTACTCATCTGCTTCACCTTCAGTAGGATCTTCTCTCTTCCACCCGCAACAAATCTGCTCTTTCACTCCCCGATGGCTTTCCTTCCACTCATTACCAACAGTTGGGTCTCTGGTGGGGTTATCCACTTCTGACCAATCCCCTGGATGTGAGGCGTCCTTTCTCCATTACAGTCCTTTCCTTGCCTTCTGGCTTTTCTTGAAGTCCCAGTACCAGGGAACTGTGTCTCTCTCAGGCTCAGAGCCCTTGGCCCACTGGGTGGCCTGTACCTGTCTTGAAATGGACCCTCTCTGAATTCCTGGGATGCTAGGAATTGCAGACCCTTGGCTCTTCTTTCTCGGCCTCACTCATGGGAGCTGTGTCATCGTCTGTACCTCCTTGCTCCCCTTGGAGACCCACTGACCATTCCTAAGCAGCTATCGTTGCGGGACTTCCAGCTGTTGGCCACAGAGCTGGAGGCACAAGACGACCAAACATGTTTGGGAGATGCTGAGGGGATGGGGACGGATCAGGTGCTTTAAGCCCTAGGGAGTCGGCTTGGATCCACCAAGAAAGGCCTTTTGCCAGGTCCAGGAGGCGCCTGATGGTTCCACAGATCCTGGACAGTGAATTGAAAACAGCCAGCTACTCCAGGACATGACTAGCACCCCAGCTTTCCCAGGTCCCCCAAAGACGAGAGACGCCCTGCAGGTCAGCAGGGAGTAGTCTTGAGAATAAATCATCCTCATCCCT